TCTGCTCTTAACAAGGTTCAAATACGGATAAAAAATGTAATTTACCGATAATTTTATTGGAATGCAGTGACCCCAAATGACTAAACGAGGACAACAGGAGAATGCAGCCCCTTAAGGCCTTAATTAAACCGAATAGAAAACTGCTCCACACAGCCACTTTTCAACGGTCTTAGGAGATGTTGACCAAAAAATCCTCCAATAATAAGCGTCCTAACTAATTAGGTTCACATGCTTTAAAAAAATAAACTAAAATGTTAAATATCTTTTGTTTTAAAATTTAAATTACATTAAATTATAAAATAAAAATCATTTATGAGTTAATTGGTATAATATTTTTAAATTACTAATAAATTAATTATTAATAATTTTTTTAATATAATAGTTAATAATTGTCATTATTAATAATTTAAATAATTTTATTCATTAAATTTAATAAAATCAATCACTGCACACCAACAGTAGTGCCTATAATGGTAGGGTGCATATGATATCATGGATACCACCATAATTCAAAACCTTGTGATGTAATCCCCCTTTTCTCAATTTTCTCATGTTGAAAAAAAAAAAATCAATTACCAATTTTAAATTTTAAAGGCAAAACTATATGTTAAGCCCCTGAAGGAGGGCTAAATTAAGGGTTAAATTGTTGTAAGAACAAGAGCTAAATTGCTTAGATTGTGGAATCTATGGGTTTATATGTATCAACTAAAGTTTGGGGTTCAATAACCAATCTGGAGTTAGTTCAGGGACTTAATATATGGTTTTGCCAGTTAAACCACAATATGAGTTAGTACAAACAGGACCGAACCAAAAATTGAAATTAGGGGTGGAGGGGAAAGGTTAAATTTTTTTTTTTTGTAAGTTATTTATTAGTTTATTATTAATATAATTTAAATTAATTTTTATATTGATTGTTTATTTTATGTATGTATTATTTATTTATGCATGTAAAGCTTTAAATTAATTAGATATATTTAGTTTTATAAAAAAAAATAGAAATATTTAGTTATTTTTAAATGATATATTTTTTTGAACATGCTATTTTTAAATTATATATATTTTAAAATCCCTAAATAAATAGTTTATATTGATTGTTTATTTTATGTATGTATTATTTATTTATGCATGTAAAGCTTTAAATTAATTAGATATATTTAGTTTTATAAAAAAAATAGAAATATTTAGTTATTTTTAAATGATATATATTTTAAAATCCCTAAATAAATAGTATAAAAATATAGTTTATTTTTTTAAATAGTTACCTATATCAAAATAATTTTAAATTTGAAATGTATGATTTATACAAATAGAATAAATTCATCCATTATTTTCATAGTATATAAATTGTACAAAAAAAATTATATATAACTAATGTAAAAACTTATATAAATAATATTAATATAATTAATTAAATTTTGATTATTTTTTAATATTTTTTTACCTAGACCAATTTATCATATCTTAAAATTTAATCAAAAAGAGAGAAATAATTCCTTTACCTAAATCCTATTTTAGACCAATTTATCATATCTTAAAATTTAATCAAAAAGAGAGAAATAATTCCTTTACCTAAATCCTTTTTTTTTTTAATATTTGAAATGGTCCCAATAATTTAAAACCTCAAAAAACAAAATTTTGTAGAAAATAAAAATTAATGTACCATATTTGGAAAATTTTCAAAAGCTTAGGGGGACAGCTGCCCTCCCTTGTCCTACATTGATTCCGCCCGTGGGTACAAACGATGCTTAAACGACGACGTTTTTCACTCCGTGGCAATAAAATCCCATGCGCCATTTTTTCGTCGTCATCTTTCGCTGGCCAACCAATCCAACGAGACTATAAATCGCCGCAGAAAATAACAAAACAAGTTGCAGAGAAAGACAGAAGGAAAAGGCCAAAACAAAAGCGAAGAAAAAAAAACACGTCTTTTGTTCGTCTTTCTTATCATGTCTCCCAACATCACCGTCTATCTCTTCCTCTTCGTCCTCCTCTTCTTCCGACCATTGCACGCCGATGATTCCCCGACGGCGTACGAAATCATGCAAGACTACAACTTTCCACCCGGTTTGCTTCCCAAGGGCGTCGTCAAATACGATTTGGACCGATCCACGGGCCGATTCCATGCCTATTTGAACGATTCTTGCGCCTTCTCGTTGGAGGGCTCTTATCAACTTAGATACAAATCCACCATCGGTGGTTACATCTCCGACAACAAGCTCACCGACCTTACCGGGATAAGCGTCAAAGTACTGTTCTTGTGGTTGAATATTGTGGAGGTTGATAGGAGAGGAGATGAGCTTGAATTCTCGGTGGGGATCGCATCTGCTAACTTCCCGATTGATAATTTCTATGAGAGCCCGCAGTGTGGGTGTGGATTGGATTGCGTTAATGGGCAAGTAAGCAAGCTTAGAACCAAGTCTTTTGTTTCTTCAATTTAGAGGAATTATTGGGAATATTGTTTTAAAGAGATGTGGACAATGAAAATTGGGGATTACATGATGTTTTTATTTGGGATTAATTGAAATTTGAAAGAGCTTTCGGTAATTTATCAAAATTGGTGAATTGTTGATTGTGCAAGTTTGGTTATAGCAGTATGATTGAATTTGCATACCTGTATGTTGTGCTTTTGTTCATATTGTTGTTTTTGGGTTTGCTTAATTGAACTGGACTCAGGGTGGGATTGCCATCACCTTGATTTGGTGCATAATAAGGTATCTCATGCCATCCGGAAACCAGGGACATTAAATAAAAATGCACTCTTTTTGATGGTACGTTGTTGACATGTTATCATGTTCTTTAGTTAACTAGAGTGTGACTGGAAAATGCTGAATAGGTCTATATATCATCTGGTGAGGCTTCATTCATAAAAGTTCTCTAGGTTTATATACTTGTTTATTTTTGTGAAGGGTAGTCCATCTATGGATGGAAGTTTGTTGCTCTGATTGAAAGAGTTTCTTATAATGAAACTAAGATGTTTGTCAATTTGAATAATTTCTTATTATAAGCACCCCTAATTGGTTGCTGTGTGTACTAAATGAATGTGAACTTGGTTGTGTTAGGCAGTTTTCATTGACCTTAAATGCCACTGCTACAGGTTAATTTTCTAAGGATTGCATTGATTGAGAGATAGTTGGTCATTAGATATAAGCCTTTTTCATCAACATGATTTTGGCCATAGAACATGTGGTTGTTAAAGTGTGCTAGGTTTTGTTATACCAGACTTTGGGAGAAGCACTCTGAGCTTTTTTGTCTGATGAAGTGTTCTGTTCGGTCACTTGAAGTTTTTACTCTGTTTGGCCAAGTTACTTTAAGCAATTAGAATAGTGTTATGGTAGCTCTTTGTAGCTATCTAGTAGAACATTTGCTCAGCCTCAGACTATAATTATATAAAATGACTGTAGGAAATTTGTATAACTCGTGCTTAGTTTGGCATCCTTAAGGGTATTTTTAAGCTGGTGTTAGGCTTCGAGTTAGGGTATTTTTAAGTCTCTTTGCTTGCCTACAACTGGGGATAATGATGCCTTACATTTTTTGTGTATTTTTTATTTTTTTGTTTGATTGTTAAGTAAAATTGAGCCTGGAGATGATGGTTTAGAGTCACAAGGAGTTCCACACAATGACAACCCGTTTCCTTTTTCCTTCTGGTTGTAAAGTCTCTGCCATATGGGGTTTTAGGAATTGTTACCCGGGATAAAAAGCCAGGATGCAATGAAAAGTTCAAAAGCATCTGTGCACATAATGACCAAGCAAGCATTATTTTGCATTTTGAGATTATTAGTATTTTAGATAAGGCATTAATTCTTGAGAGAGCCTTTTAATTGGGTTGTCTTTTGCTTTTTCTTTTTTTCTTCCTTTTTTTCCTTTTTTCTATAGAATGCCATATTATTATTATGTTCATACACCTTCAGTGAAGGATACGCCACTTTTGTGTGGGGGTTGGCTGGGGTAATAATAGGTTCCCCTGTTGAAAAGTCCCCCTAATGGGCATGGCTGTCATTAAATATTATTTGGGACACAGCAGAAATGGATTTTATGGTAATCAGGTTAACATATAAACATTTCAGTAACCCATGGAAACTATCTCTTGGTTGGAGCATTGATGCTTTTATTTTTTATGATGGGTAGCAATATTCCTTCCGTCAGCACCTATCTTCCCTGGGAAAAGGACTGTTTTTAGCTGCTGAGAAGAGCTAGTAGAATTGTAGAAAGTTTGCTGTTTTCTCTCTCAGGTTGTGATTACTTTTGGAAGTCCTTGGCAGTGTCTGTTAGTTTTGTGGGGAAACCTTTGGAAGTAGGCATTATTTCGAGGAACATACATGCACCTGGGTATAGTTTCTTCATGTTTTTTTTTTCTTAGCCATCAACACACGTATTCCAAATCTACTTCTAGTGGCTTCATATGAACCGAGAAATATTCCCTTCACCACACTGCCATATTCCACATAAAAGCTATGTCATTTATGTAATGTCAGGAACTTAGGACAGAAAACAGAGCTTTTCACCGAATGGGTAATTTTACCATATCCATGTCTTGAATATGATGCGTATATCCCTCGTATTCATGTCTTGTCAGATTCTTCCCACTGTTTTTTCTTCCCTGATATGTTAAAAATCTTTGAGAGAAGTGCCTTGGCTTAATAAAAGGAGCCACAAGATGGAGTTCAGAGTTGGATTGAAACATTTTACTACACATCTTCTCTGTCCTTTCTTCGTTTGTGGTTTGTGATGCAAATTAGGAAACCATATAAGCTGATTTGGATGTTCAATGTGGATTCTAGCTGTACCCAGATATATATATATATAATTTTTTTTAAAGTATTGATCCATTTTACTTGTCGTAACAGAGATTTTTAAGGTGATACCCTTTAATAATATTTAAATGATAATTTTATTTTTTATGAGAAAATTATTTAATAATGATTAAATAATTATTTATATATTATTAAAAAAAAATAAATTAAAAATACGTATTGTGACAAGTAAAATAAACCAGATGTTCTTACAATAGAAGACTGCAAAGTGGAGGGACAAGAAGCAAAAATGCGAGGCAGCTGGTGAACCATGTAAAAGATTTTAGCAACCACAGACAAAAAAATCATCAATTGTGGCGAGCAGATTTTAAGAGTACGTAGTTGAACCTCTTGAATATATTTCTGGCTGGCCTAGTTTTGTCTGCCTATGGTGCTCTCTTCCTTAATATTTGAGTGATCGTGGTCCATGAAGGAAGACCTGAGATGCAAGTGGCATTGCAAATGGATAGTATTACAGGGACAATTTTTTTGTCTCATATTTTTATATAATATTTATATGATATTAAATAAGTGGATGTATTTAATATCACAAATTTTATATAAATTAAAAGAACTAATTATCTTAATGACACGTCAAATTATATATAAAAAAAAAAGATAAAATAATTATCAAAATAACATTTTTCACCACAAAAACTGGCATATGGTAAAAAAATTACTAAATTTGAGACCTCTTCAATTATAAATTGAAATTCAGTTCCATTACTTCCTCTGGATGGTAAAAAAACTACAATCTGGGTCAACATATAAACATTTAGTCAGCTAAACTTTTTTTTATTTTTTATTTTTTATTTTTTTATGATTATGGTATTCTCAACAGATCTGGAGATTAATATATTTTCAACAGATTTTAAATACGTATCCCTTATATCAACTTGATATATTTAGAAACATTAATTTTTTTTATATGATGATCTCAAATTTTGAATATTAAACATGACTTATTTATTAATAAATTTAACTTTATGATTAATAAGACTTAGTTAAGTTAATTAATAACTTTAATTTTGTCAACGACTTAAATAATTTAATTGTTATTTTTTTTATTAAAAATAAGAGATCTTAAATTCGAGTTACATTACATGCAGATAAATGTGAGATAAAAAATTTGAGATAAAAAATTTGAGATAATTATTTTTTATTGTGTAAATAAAAAATTCACTCCTTTCTGGTCAAATTCTCACGTTTTAATTGATTTTCTTCAGGTTTTTAAACTCATAAATTTTCACTGATGAGTTTTTAAACTACGAATCATACAGAA